GATATGAACAAAGGGAGCAACCAACGTGAGCCTATCCCAGCTACAAATTGAGATGTAGCTACAGGGGAGTCGAAATAAAAATACTGCCTCCCAAATAAGAATTCTGACTCCCAACGTGACATTTTCCTTCCGTCCCCAAATGCCTAGCATTGCAGAAAGAAACTGAAAAATCGTTTAAACATTGACTTCCATAGTTTGTTCTCATTTCCTTGTCTTCCCTTTTTTCTTTGGATGCTTACATTCCGTTTCTAAAGGCTCGGAAGTTTAAGTTACCGCAATGCTAGAAATTTGGGGACTGCAGGAAACGTTCATGGGGGGGGGGAGGGAGCGCTCTCATTTTGCCCAGCCTTGCGTTGGAATTTGCACTTGTGTCTTTCCTGTGATGGGTTTATTGGGTCACCCACTTCTAGACTTGTTTCACACCTGCATTGCGGCAATGGGACTTGGAAAACTACCCTGCTGACTGTAGAAATACATTACACTCCATGCCCTCATATCCTCCTTAGGGGGGAAATTGGGGAACACAATTCTGCGATCAGGAATAATAATACCTTTCCATTGTTCACATTGATTTTTTTGCTGGTCAGGGATCTGAAATGGGTTACAAAGCCATTGTTGTGTGCCTTTAAGTTAACTCTGACTTAGGATACCTATCACAGGGTTTTCTCATCCAGATCTGTGCAGAGGGGGTTTGCTGTGGTCTTCCTCTGAGGCTGAGATTGTGTGACTTACCCAAGATAACCATGTGGGTTCCCGTGACTGTGCAGGGATTTGAATCTGGTCTCTTGAAGAGTCTTAGTGCAATGCTGAAACCACTACACCAGACTGGATTTTTTTTCTGGGGGACAGAGACATATACCATTGCTTCCCAAATAGATCATTTGCTGCCTAGTTATCTTTAATTGGTCACGACTTTTATGTGACTTGATTCACTTAGAAAATAAAAAGAATGGGTTTATTTCCCCTGGTTCTGTAGGGCACAATTTTAGAGCATCTAATGCCAATAAATGCAGCATGTTGCGATCATAAATCCTTTGGTCATCAGCCACTGCCCCATTCACTTGCAAAGTACAGTGTCATCCAAAATCCACAAGATGGTGATACCTTCATGGGACCAACCAAAATGCACATGATACATGTTGGCAGGATTTTGAAGCTTCTTTGGCTTCCTCAGGCAAAGGTGTTAACACTGATACAGGCGCAAGAAAGATCTCTGATGCCACGTGGCCAGTAATTTCCCAGGTTGCATCCACACTGCAGAAATAATGCAGTTTGACATTGCTTTAGCTGCAGTGTCTCCATCCTATGGAATCCTGGGATTTGTAGGTTGTTGTGGCCCCAGGGCTCTTGACAGAGAAAGTGAACTGTTTCACAAATCCCAGAATTCTGTTGATTGGAGCCATGGTAGTTAAAGTGGTGTCAAAGTGCATTATTTTGGCAGTGCAGGCTAAGACATAAGTTACACTGATCCAGGAGTTCTCTCTCTGCTGCTGCTTTTATTCTGGTTTCCATATATTTTGTGAGATACATTTTGTGAAATATTTCAAAATATAATCAGCCTTAGGATTGCCATAAGTTAGAAATGGCTTGACGGTACACTTGAATACTTGAAGGTACAAAATGAATTGAAGGTACACAACATATATATTTATGTGTATATATATGTGTGTGTGTGTGTGTATAGTGTACCTTCAAGTATTTTGAAATATTGTCATAAGTTAGAAATGACTTGAAAAAACAATGAAATATTGCCATAAGGTAGAAATGATGTGAAAGTACATAACATACATATGTTATATTGTGTACCTTCAAGTCATTTCTAATTTATGGCAATATTTGAAGGTACAAAATGACTTGAAGGTACACTATATATATAAGAGAGAGAGAGAGTACCTTCAAAAGGCCATTTCTAACTTATGGCAATATTTCAAAATACTTGAAGGTACAAAATGACAAGTCATTTCTAACTTATGGCAATCCTAAGGCTGACTGTATTTTGAAATATCTCACAAAACTAGAAAACCCAGAAGCAGAAATCCCAGAAATCAGGCTACTTTCTTTGATGAAGAAGCCGGTGGACCTAAGAAAGCTTGCAACATTATATATATATATATATATATATATATATATAT